TTTTTGTATATGAGTTGATATTAGTGCATCTTTATATATGCTTTTACTCACATATGTTTTCCTTAGTATTCATTTCATATATTTTTTAAGACATTTTGATAGGGGGAGCCTTCCCTATTCCTTTTATTGTTTTTATACTCACCTATGTAAATTTATAGGTAGAGCTTACGCTCTCTTATCCTTTATTGTTTTTCTCTTTTTGATGTTGTCAAAGGGGAAAAAATATTATGAGTATATATTTCCTTGTTTGATGCATGATAATCATAATTCATATATTCATTTAGTATCATGTAGATCTCTTTTTGTAATTTGTTTGTCATCATCAAAAAGAGGGAGATTGTTGGCCTTTTTATTTTGATGATGTGTTAACAATCAATTTATGACTAATGTTGTTTATTTAGTGTTTGTGTTTTCTTATTATTCTAGACAAATAATGCGTTGGAGGTTGGATGGACTAGAGCTTTCACGATCATATCCATTAAAGGATGGAAGGAAATATCAGAGTGAAGCAATACAATTCAAGTTAAAAATTCAAGATCAAGCTTCATCCATGTTTACCAAGACAAGCATATTGAAGATCATCATCTTGGGTATATATATTAGTTTAGGTGTTATATTATGTGTGTTTATACTTCAAGCTCAATATCACACATACACACAATTCTTGATTTTGAGTAATTTTTGCCAAAATATTGAGTTATTGGTTTTTGGACTTAACAATCATTATATAAATTTTTTATTAAGTCTATAAAATCATTTTATAAGGTTTCAAAACATTGTTTAACTCAAAAGTCAAAAATCAAGAAGTTTATGTACACATGTATTTATAAGTTTTGAAAAATAGTAAGTTTTCACAAATACGAATTGATATATCAAAAATTCTTTATTTAACATGTTTGTTCTTATATTTATAAATGTTTCCCAAAGTTTTATTAATTTTTGAGTTAATTTTTTATGTTTAATTGAATTTACAAAATCAAGTTTTATTAAGTTCATGTTCGTGCATGTGTTCGTGCATGTTTTTGTAAAAAATATGATTTTTCACAAATGGAAAGTGCAATTTGAAAACTTCTTTTTCTAACATGTTATATTACATGTTTTTAACTATTTACCAAAATTTTATTATTTTTGGAGTTGATTTACTATGCTGAATTGATTTTACAAAATCGAGTGTTTCAGCAGTTTTTCAGAATCTGTAATATATGTGTTCAAACAATTATTTCTCACAAATGGATATTTAAGAATTTCTTTTTCTAACATATTTACCTATATGTTTATATACTTCCCTCAAAACTTTATAATTTTTGGAGTTGATTTACTATTTTTAATTGATTTTACAAAGCCAGATACGTAGATTTTTAGGTTTCAGAAACTGTCGGTATTGTTCACGGTCGACCACGACTTGTTGGCAGTCGACTGTTGATGTTTCCGTTGCCAATAACGGCTAGTTCCTGGTTGCATTTTTTGAGGGTTTTTGCATCGTTTTTTGTGCTTGGGCTATTGTTTTATGAACTTATAAATACCCCATCATACCTCAATCCTCCCTACCGTTGAAGAAAAGTTTTAAACAAGTTTAAGAGGGTTTTTAAAGTTTTGTTTTAGTGTTTGTTTACAAGTTTGGTTTGTGAATAAATTTTCACAAGAGGAAGAGGAGATCATCATTTGGTGTTTGAGCTTCATTTCATTCTCTCTCTCACTCTTGATCTATAGAGAAGTTTTCCTTAAACTCAATTTCTAGCTTTGTATTTATTATTGGTTATTTATCATCTTCATAAGCTAGAGTTTATATTGCGTTTATATTTGTTTTTCTCATTGTTTACACACACAATCATTAAGCTTTAGTATTTTCATTTATAGTATAATTTGGGTTGTGGGGTTGTATCTTAGAGAGTGAGCCTACACTGTGTTCTCATCTATTGTAGAGAACAAAATTTATATTTGAGCCTTTATTGTGAGATTCATCTTGTAATACACAAGTACACCAAGAGGAGTGTGTGGTGAGGACACGGTCGATACCAAGAGGAGTGGCATCGGTAGTAAAGCCTAGGGAGAGGTAGTAAAGCCGGGCACTTGAGGGTAGCGACACGTGAGGACCAACACTTAAGGTTGTAGGTTGTGTGATTATATTGTGAGTGATTGTGAATGTTGATCGGTGAGCGTTGAAAACCGATATTGTGAGGTGTAAACGTTTTTCATGTGAGCATCGAAAACCCGATTGTGATAGTGGATTTCTCCCCGGGAGTGGGGAGCGGAGACGTAGGTCGGAAGGACCGAACTCCTTAATCATTTGATTGTGTTTGAGTTTGCATTGGCGTATTATTTATGCTCATTGCTTAGTTCATTCTATTCGTCATTGTCTATTGCTCATTGTTTATATTGCCAACTATTTTGTTTATCTTGTTTATGTTTATTACCCTTGTGTAAATTGTTTATCCTTACATATATATCTTGTTGCATATCATACTTGCTAGGATATTGTTAATTATTTTTTAAATTGGCATTAATATCGGATTAGATTGGCATTCACCCTATTCACCCCCCTCTAAGGTGCTTTTTTTTTAAATTGGCATTAATATCGGATTAGATTGGCATTCACCCTATTCACCCCCCTCTAAGGTGCTTTTAAAAGTACGAGTTTGGGAAAATCTTTCTATGGTCAATATTATCCTTAGTTTTTTTTTTGAATATTACATTGTTATCCTAATCTATTCTAATTATCCTATTTTATTTGAATTGGTAACCAAATGATTTATTATATTCATAATGAGACTTAACATGTTATTGGATAAAATAAATACATTTCATATAATTCAAACCCTTTACTTATTTCAGTTCGTAGAGAAATCTAAAAAACATATACTAGCCAGTACCTAAAAGTTTTTAGATTTTGTAAAAAAAGATTCTCTAAGTTTTTTAAATTACAAAAACACCCCTACAAATTTAAAATCTTATTAAAGCATTTTGAAAATTATAAATTTTACTTATCTCAACTTAGTGAGAAATCTGAAAAACATATGCTAACTAGAAACATAAAGTTTTTTTTTACTTTGGAGAAAATATCTTGTAAGTTTTAAAATTTATAAAAACACCCCCTAAAAATTCAAATTTTATAAAAAACACCTTGAAAATTTCAAACCTATAAACATACTAAAAACCTATAAATAACACAAACAACCCCCAAAAAATTATGGAATTTGCAATACACACTGAACTTTTTACAAATTACAAAATATAACCCTCAAAATTATAAAATTTATAAAAATCATAATAATTTCTAACCTAATAATACATTAAAAATATAGGAATTATAAATATCCCCTACTGTTATTGGGCATATCTGTTCCACGAATATATGATATGATGAGTCAGCATCTCGACCAGCCAGGCACGGCGACACTCTAGTATCGACACGAGAAACAATGATAATCGATACGAGACACCCTGACCTCCCAGACGAGCCGATATCTCGACCAACGGGAGAAATAGCCAGAGATCAGCTAGCAATCCGACTCAGCCAAACAGACGAGTCGACATTTATCAACATCGACCCAAAAGGCGGTACCTGTCGGCCCTCTCGCAGCAGACAACTCGCCAGAAGCCTAGTCGACCCAGTCGAGCTGACACTCCTTCATGTCGACTCGAAAGGCGGGATGAGTCTTCACTCCTCTCAACAAGTCGACTCTCCTCGCAAGTCCCATCATGAGGGACATTACTTCTCCAGCGAAGCTAGAAGATAATTTCGCCAAAGCTTATCCATCATGACAACAAGTCACATCATGTCTACTCAGACCATGTGTCATCATGCCGCCTATTAGCCCATGATCGCTCCTTAAATCGAGGCTGAAGTGATCTTCCTCCTGTTGCCAGCCGACACATGTCGAGCAAATGATGACTCACCATCCAGCTCACACTTTGTCACCATCATTTGATCTTCCTCCTGTCGCCAGCCGACACATATCGGGCAAGAGATGACCTAACTTCCAGCTCACCCCTCACCACCGTCTTATTGTGCACTCATGAAGTGACCAATCTTCCCTTGACATCCTCTATAAATACAAGTACTATTCGAGCTAGAAAAAGGTTCAAAAACTAAAACCCCAAAGGTACACACTGCGCAAGAACACACAGTTCTTCTTTTACTCCACTCAAGTTCATCAACTGACTTGATCGTTGGAGGTATCACGAGGGAACTCAGCCCCGTCCTCTTACGACCTTTTTTGTGAGCAGATTGCCCAGTCACCCTAACAATAAAGCCAGACATAAAGTCGAAGAAGAAAGCAGCCTCTCCTCTTTTTACAAATTTAGTGATTCTAATTGGCTGTATGATATTCGACATCAACAGTTTGGGCCCACCTTGGGGCCTCTTTTTCATTTTTGAGAAAAACTTCTAGGCTCCAATATAGGATATGAGGAGTCCCAACCTCAAAGACAGTCACCTAACTATGTTACTCAGGATCAATTAGAAGAAGCGGTGAACCGGCTTTCTGTATCACTTAAAGAGCAATTTTCATCTTGACCAACGAGGTTCTATGGTGAATCCCAGTACTGCCACATGCTACTGCACCACCTCCACCCTCTGGAGACCAACGATCGGGAGCACCTCCTTCCCACCAACGGGGCGTCTCACCACAGGCTCCTTATAATCCTATAAGCAGACAGAAAGTTGTCGCAAGTCATGTGTCTCATCTCAACAGGAACGGATTTGCCTTCCTTATCTAAAGACATCTGATGGAAGTCCCAGTCCTAGTCATTCGGAGGGACGTGCTAGAGGAACAGGCTTCAAGACACGCCACCATCGCGCTTCCCCATCCCCATCGGCTACTACAGGAGCCTCCGCCTAGTACCAAGTATACCGACCGATTGCTGACGCAATTAGAGGGAATACCCCACTCTCAGACGAAATAATGGAATGCCCATTTGAGAAGTTTAAAATGCCCCACTTAGGGACATACTCGGGTGAAGGAGATCCTTCTTAGCATGTTCAAAACTACTTCGACATAATGAGTATGCTCCAAGTTTCTGAAGCAATCCTCTATCGGTGCTTCCCTGTCACCCTCATAGGAAGCGCTAAACTTTGGTGGAACGCTTTGGGTAAAAGATCTATCAGTAGTTTTCGACAACTTAGTCGAAAATCTATCCACCACTTCCTAGCTGATACCAAGCAGAAGCTCCACCCTCATGTGCTTATCCAAATGAGTCAGAGACCAGAAGAAAACCTCCGGGCCTATTTTAAGAGATTTCAAGCTAAGAGGTTGGAAGTCAACGACCCGAGAAGTGCAGTCGCCGTGGCAGCACTCATCGCCTGCTTGTAGAACAACGAATTGGCCAACTCTCTTGCTAAGAAGCCAGTCGCCAATTATGAGCAATTGATGGCCAAAGCCCATGGATACATAGACATGGAAGACACCCGAGCTTATAAGGCTTCAGCAAGGAGCATGGAGATTCCCATTGACACAACTTCAGCAACGCCAATCACTGTGGCCATTCCATCAAACCCTCCAACAGCACCAGCGATAACTTCCCCCCCTGAACTAATCTGGAGTCCTCCGAAGCTAGGATGGCACAAGAATCCTCCAAGGGCCAACTCCCGTCCTAATCAATCCGACAGGAGGAATCAGCAGAGAAATCTGAAACCAAAGGAGTCTCTAACCATCTTAGACACCTCACTTACTAGTGCCTTGTCTATGATCCAAAGGGAGGGATATCTCAAAGATCATGCGCCCAAGATGACATAAGATCCCAAAAGCAGGGATACCAAGCAATTTTGCCATTACCATCGGGATCATGGACACCTTACCAATGATTACTGAATCCTCAAGAGGGATATAAAAGATCTGATTAAGAGGGGATATTTGAGAAATCTCACTTTCCGGAGAGATCACAGAGATACTGTACCAACCAAAAATGATAGGAGATCCTGCTCGCGATCACCTCAACCTCACACTCAAATAGATGAATGACCCCCGGAGACGACTCATAAAGGAGTCATCAATGTAATAAGTGGTGGTCCTACAGTTGGGGGGTCATCTAATAATGAGCGGAAGAGATATGCTAGAAGAACACTGCAAGTCAACCATAATCCCAAGAAGACGAAGATAGAAGAGCTCATATCTTTTAGCGATAATGACCTACAGGGTGTTGAAACGCCCCACGATGACCCTCTTGTTATCACTGTAGCCATTAATGCTTATCAGGTGAAATGAATTATGGTCGACACCGGGAGTTCGGTGGACGTCTTATACACCAGCATCTTCAATCAGATAGGAATTGACAATTCCCGCATCCTTCCTTGCAGAGGGCCCCTTGTGGGTTTCACTCGCCATGCCCTCTTACCAGAGGAAATGATAACTTTGCCATTGGTATTAGGAGAATATCCTAGGCAAATCACTGCCCAAATCTAGTTTCTAGTAATGGATTTGAAGTCAGCCCATAATGCTCCACCTCTTGTGGGCCATCCCCTTAACTTACCACCAGATTATCAAATTCCCGACCCCAAATGGAGTTGAAATAGCCCGGAGCAATCAAAGAGAAGCTAGGTCTTGCTATTTACTCTCGATCAAGGGAAAGGGTGTGCAAGGCACTATGCTAATTGAAAAAACCTGTCTCCAACTGGAGAAGGTTGCGAAGAAACCGAGGACAGAGCCAGCAGAAGAGATCCATAAAGTCCATATTGACCAAGTAGGAATGAAGACAATCAAGATTGAGTCTGGATTAGTCGAGCCCTTGAGAGGGGCTATGGTTGAATTTCTAAAAGCCAATGCTGATGTAATTGCTTGGAAGCCAGATGACATGCTAGGGGTTCCCCCCGAGGTAATGTGTCACGAATTGGCTGTTAACAAACATGTCAAACTAGTTCGACAAAAGAAGAGACATCTTGGCCCAGAGCGCCAGAAGGCGACAACAGACGAGGTGAAGAGGCTTTTGAGAGCCGACTTTATCAAAGAAGTCCAATACCCAGAGTGATTAGCTAATGTGGTCCTAGTGAAAAAAGCACTGAACAAGATGTGTGTAGATTTCACCGACCTTGACAGAGCTTGTCCTAAAGATAGTTATCCCCTGCCTTCGATCGACCAGTTGGTCGACGAGAGCGCGGGGCATGAAATGCTTAGTTTCATGGATGCCTTCTCTAGTTACAATCAAATTTTCATGGCTAAGCATGATCAAAAGAAGACTTCTTTCATCACTGATATGGGTACGTACTATTACAAGATGATGCCCTTCGGATTGAAGAATGTTGGAGCCACTTACCAGAGGCTTGTAGCCAAGGTCTTCCAACATCAGATCGGACGCAATCTTGAAGCTTATGTAGATGATCTATTGGTGAAATCCAAACAAGCGTCTATCCATATTTCAGATCTAGACGAGGCCTTTTCAACCTTAAGGAGATATCGAATAAAGCTCAATCCAACCAAATGTGCCTTTGGAGTACAATCAGGAAATTCCTTGAATTCATGATTACCCAAAAAGGTATTGAGATCAACCTTAAAAAGATTGCTGCAATAGAGCGACTCCCCTGAGCTACGTACTTTGAGAGAGATTCAGAGGTTGAATGTGAGGGTTACAGCTCTAGGTTTTTATCTAAATCCGCCGAGAGAAACCTCCCTTTCTTTAAAATATTAAGAGGAAGCAAAAGCTCGAAGGAAGGCATAGTCTGGACAACTGAATGCCAGGCATCATTTCAAGATCTCAAAGCTTACTTAAGCACAAAGCCATTGTTGAGCCAACTTATGAGAGGGGAGACTTTGTTCTTATACATAGCCGTCTCATCTGAAGCGGTGAGTTCTGTCCTTATTTAGGAGGAAGAAAATACGCAAAGACCCGTCTACTATGTGAGTCGAATCTTCCAAGCAGGCAAAGTCAATTATCTCTTTATAGAGAAAGTTGCTTTTACCCTCATCCTTACGGCTAAAAGACTCCGTCCTTATTTCCAAGCTCACCCCATTATTGTTAGGATGAGCCTACACTTGAAGAAAGCTTTGAGAAGTCCTACGACATCAGGAAGAATGATTGCATGGGCGGTTGAGCTTAGCGAGCACGATGTCCAATTCGAGTCTCGAATAGCTATTAAAGCTCAAGCTTTAGCTGACTTCTTGATCGAATCAACTCCCCAAAGTAATGAACCAGAAGTACTCGTGCCACCTCCTCAACCTTCCCCCACCAGAACGCCAGGAGATTCCTCTAACTCGTCATGTTTTGGAGCATGATTCACCCGAATATGACTCGTGGTAGCTACTACAAGTAGACGGATCCTCTGGAAAAACTGGCAGTGGAGCAGGAGTGGTCATATGAAGCCCCGACGGGTCGATATATAAGCATTCCATTTCCTTTAAATTCTCAACCTCGAACAATGAAGCCGAGTACGAAGCCCTCCTAGCTGGCTCCGAGCGGCACGGGCTTTGAAAGCCGATCGCCTTTACGTTCTAGCAGACTCGCAATTAATGGTCTATCAAATCAATGGACGCTATGCTGCTAAGGACCCAAGGATGGTCCTATATCTTTGAGTTGCCAAAGAACTTTTAACATGCTTCCTGGAATCCAAGATAGGGCAAGTTCCTCGAGCCCTTAATTTGAGTTGCCAAAGAACTTTTAACATGCTTCCTGGAATCCAAGATAGGGCAAGTTCCTCGAGCCCTTAACGCTCAAGCAAATGCCCTCTCCAAATTAGGATCAACAAATTCGGGAATTAGCTCCAGACCCGTCTATACTGACATGCTTGAGCATCCCAGCATCTCGAAGCCGTCAGAGATCCTTATGGAGACAGAAGAACCTATACCACCTTGTTGGATAGATCCCATTATCCTTTATCTAACACAAGGTGTTTTGTCTGAAGATCAAGTCGAAGCTAAGCGCGTGTTAAGGAATTCTCACCGCTACCTCATGATTGAAACTAACTTTATCGAATGTCCTATATTGGTAGCAGTATAGGACCCTACTTGTGGTGTCTACGACTGCCAGAAGCTCGCTATGTGCTTAGAGAAATCTATGAAGGTATATGTGTGAATCATCTATGGGCACGAACCCTAGCGCAAAAGATCATCCGTCAAGGTTATTATTGGCCGACTATCTTGGCTGAGTCAATGAAGCTAGTATCTCATTGTCAAAGGTGTCAATTCTTCTCATCCATTCCTCGAGCAGCCGCGACCGAGTTGACTCCTATTTTAAGCCATATACCTTTCGCCTAAGGGGCTTAGATCTATTAGGACCTCTCCCTAAAGCTTCGGGGCAGAGAAGATTCCTTATAGTGGCGATTGATTACTTCACCAAATGGATAGAAGACGAAACGCTGGCTAAGATTGGTGAGAGCAACGTCACAAACTTCGTGTGGAAATCTATTGTTTGTCATTTCGGAGTGTCTCAATCATTCATTACCGACAACGACACCCAATTTGATAGTAGGGGCTTCCGCGATTTTTGTGAAGAATACATCATTCACCTCAAGTTCGCCTCAGTAGCTCACCCAAAACCAAATGGATTGGTAGAAGCTGCCAACAAATGCATTCTTCAAGCATTAAAGAAGAAGGTGGATACCATCCTAGGACGATGGGTGGAGGAGTTACCGAGTATCTTATGGTCATACCGCACAACCTATAATAATTCAATAGGGGAGACTCCCTTTAAGCTAGCATATGGGGCTGAAGCAGTTACTCCAGTCAAAGTAGGTATGCCGACCATTCGACTGCGGCACTTTGATGAAGACTTAAACTCGGTAGGCCTTCGAGTTAACCTCGACCTCTTAGAAGAAACCAGAGAGAAAGCACTCCGAACTCAGGTCATCAATCAACAACAAATCGCCCGCCACTACAATAGTAAGATTCGTCCAAGAAGATTCAATGCTGGGGACCTTGTCCTTCGTAAGGCCATCTTTGACAAAGACACCCGGCAAGGCAAACTAGCTCCTAATTGGGAAGGTCCCTACATCGTTCTGGCAGAGCTTAGAGTGGGTACCTATCGGCTAAAGGCCCAAGATGGAAGAATCCTTCACCACCCATGGAATATCGAACACTTATGACAGTATTTTCCTTGAACTTCAAAGTTTAATTTTTCTTAAAACTCTATAAATTTCTTTTGAAGAAAGCATGTGTTAAATAATATGTTTAATAAGAAGGCTTTAGTCAAAAATATGCATTCCTGTTATAATTAGGAAATGCTATATTCAAGTCTTTGGTACCTTATCAGGATTAAACCCAAGGCACAACCCTTTGGCCGACTCCCATAGTCGTCTCTCGGTCTTAAGAAAAGGAAAGACCTAGTCGACTCCCTCGAGCCTAGGCGTTCGACTTCCGAGTCAAATTTCAAGTCTGTTGTATCTTAT